GCCGTTCACGGTGCGGGCCGCAACAGAGTGGATCACGGCGCCGGCTCCGCACAGTCCCACACCTCCGGACAAGGCCCGCGGCTGCCTTCCCGATTAGGAAACCGGGCATTGACACTGCGAGTGGAAAAGTGAAGGCTATAGGATAGTATGTTTCCATCCCGGTCCGTTTCATAGTTTCCGTGTCCCCACATTGCCGCAGAGTTATTTTGATAACCATTGCTGTAGTATCAACGACTCGGGAAATAGCTCCGGCGGTAGTATGCAGGATACCATTCGTGGCGCAGCCGGATATTGGGCTTATTGTGTTCTATATGCGAAGACGGATGGAGTTGAAAACACTAGCCTACCCTCATCTGAAGTACCCAGACTGTTGTGAGAGGCTGAACAAATGAAAGGAGGGTCAATGGTCACACAGAACTGCATCATGGTTCAACCCGGCACACTCAAGCCTCGAGCGGTGAGACAAGCAATATAATGGAAGGGCTAGACCGCAAAGACCCCGTTGTTGTAGTTCCCAATGCCGCTGATAACGGCGGCGGCGTTTTGTAAGCTATTTTGGGGATAAGGGGTAGTGACACAACAGGCGTTACACACACCGCCGCCATCTCCCCATCAACACAACACACCGCAACTAAATTGTAATGTCAACAGCGATGAGGGGCGGAACTTAAGGAAGTGTTCAACCCTTCACCGAATTCGCGGTAGCTTTCGGTGGTGCACCCGATATCATGTTCGCTTCCCCATAACGATGCAAGCACTGCGGCAGTGCACATACTCCGCCAGCGGTAGTCGTCACCAGTCCTCTGTCTTGGCAGTCGTTGTCAAACCGGAATGGTCGGCAGTGCGGAGGGTCCGACACTGGGCGGGACCCATGGCAAACAGTCGTTCGTCGGGTGGTTGCTGACAAGCTTCGGAGACTCGGAAGGCTCCGAAGAGGGTGGGCACCCATCATGCCAAGAGGTCGGGGGCTGGCCTTGTATCACACAGAAACAGGACGTATGGGGTGCAGTTTCGAGAGAGATCCGGGACCCTGTTTCCCGAGCCTTCTTTCTGCAGGGGCGATGGGCCATGGTGCCGTTCTTTGACCACAAGCGTCATGTCATCCCCACGGTGACGGACCCCTTCACGCCCTTATCATCGGGCTCCAGAAGCAAAGGGAAAACTATAAGACATCCCGCGCCGATATTGCAAAGGTCGTTGGGCGCAGCGGAATGCCAAGGGCTTTGATCAACAAATGTAACCGCTTGGCGGGTTCAAAAGCCGGGGGCGACCGGATGCCAAGTGTGGCCATGGCGGCAGATGACGCTTGGCGGCAACGCAAGTGTTGCTTGTGTGCTGTCTTTCTGAGAGTTTTGGCTTGGAGCTCTCGGCGACCAGTGATTTTCTCGCCCATGTAGGTACAGATGTCCCTACCAAAAGTCTTTGCTCACCGCCCATTAAACTATTAGTGGTTATGGGCCTTTTTCTGCCAAGCAGAACTAGTAGGATTTGGAAAGCGGTCAGCAAAGACTTTTGGTAGGGACTTCCGTACAAGTACCTGAACTCCCTGCGCTCCTCGATGTCAGCGACGCGACCGACGGAAGGGGCGGTAGGATGGTATCTTGGCGGTGAAACGCCTTGGCCCGAAAATGACACCAAATCAATGCCGAATAACTACCACACAGACAGGAGTCGAGCAAATATGGACCTCGAGTGCCGCCGTCTCCGCCAAGAGCTGGTGTCCGGCCGATCTGAGACGACTGGAGTCTGGCCTCTTAACTCAAGCATTGCCAAGAGGCCGGTGGCACGCACGGAGGCGTCATTTCGAGAAATAGGCCCCGAGGATGATGGCTTGTTTGGGCGCACAGCCAAGCTGCCTTCGCCGCTAACGTACGTATTGCGCGGGCCTGCGAAGACGTGAGGTATCGTGTGGACCCAAGTCTCGACAAGATTGCGGGTGTGCAGGTTTGAGAGGAGTTGCGGAATGGCGCTCGACGACTAGGAAAAAAGCTTCTGATTAGCAGACGGTTGATCTTGGCGTCAGCGGTGCGTGCAGCCTTCATTTTACCGACGTAAACCAGTCGGCGCGGCCATGAATGCGTGGTGACGGCGGTGTTGATGGTGCACTTCCCACTACTTTCCAAATCGGGCCGCGATCGATGCCCAGACGATCTGCGTCGAGGATGGGCGACTTGGCACAGGGCCAAGCCTTTGTGGTGTCGCGGCGAGGCAGACGTTGGAGAGAGGAAACAAGGAGAATCCGGATGTTTCGCGAAAAAGAGTTCGGCGGAGTGAGCAACATGCCCACATTACCGGAGCTTTGGATTTCCGTTTCCACTTTGCTGTCTCGCACCCCACTCGTTGTCGTGGTGCCCCGTGCCTTTAGGCTCTCCTGATGCAACATGGAACAGTGCCAGTGGGTACTGGCCCTAACTTCTCAGCCCAGGACAGAAGGCGCAGACGACGACGGCAACACTGATTTATGGAAACACGCCGACGCACAAGCGCCAAGTTCTATCCAGCGCTTTTCAAATTTGCGCTCCAATCTGATCTACATTACTGCCACTTTCTCAATCGGTCGGTAAATAAGTCGCCAAGAGTCCAAGGGGCACACTCCCCGGAGCCAAGCATCTTCTGCATCTTGTGGTACGACGGCGTCTTACACATGCCATGGAGTCATGGAAATAAATATCTTAGGGTACCTCTCGAATGTCGAGTGATAACTACAGCTTTTGGATAGACCTTTTTGTTTCTCGCAGCCTCTCTCTGCATTCTTAAGTTGTTGGCTGCACCTTCCCAACTCCTATTCGTACACATTTCTTACACCCACACATATCCTACTCCAACTCGCTAATTTGCGCTATTTTCATCCTCCCAATCCGAGCTGTCGTTGTCACGTCCACTCCACGGCTCCATCCCTACCCCGCAAAACCACACCAACCAGCTGCACAATACACTTCCTTCTCCTCTTTCTCTTCTACCCTGGAGATCATCACCATGGGTTCCGCGCTTTCGAGGTGTACGTCAAGGAGCTCGGGGGCCGCTCCGTCAGGGCTCTCAGAGATGGGACAAAAGATACTCGACAGGCAACCCAACTGGATCATCCCACCGGCGAGATGGCGCCCTCAAACTTGCAGCCAAAACCCAATTCGTTACCGCACTCCCACGCCGTATCCGAAGGAGGACAGAAAACGAATGGAGGAGCCCGCCTCAAACGCCACCGTTGTTGTTCCGGAAAAGGCATTCGTCCTGGAGTCATCGACAGTGAGCCATGTTGAAGTGGTCAGCACTCCTCACAAACACAGCATCGTGCAGCCGCGCAGGCCACACACCCAAGCACAACAAACCCTCAAAATAACATGGGAAATGTCCCCGCGTTTGAACCGGTTTGAACGTGTAGCTTAGAGTGACGGAACATGAGTTGGGAACCGGCGGGCTGAGCCGCTGGTTGTGGGCGCGCATTCAACAGGACGGTGTGGTCACTATCAGTATCACACCACGATGGCACGAACAAACCATCTACAGGGGAACTCGACGCCCTTCAACCCAACAACACCGAAATGGGACCAACCCCACGGGGCTCCACAGCCGGGGTATACCCCATACCCACAGTCGTCACACCACACGCGAACAAGCACCCGAAGCAATCGCCAAGGCGGAGGGGCACACATACCCCAGTACAACTCAACGTCAACAAGCAGATCGACAACCGCAGCATCCCGCTCCCTGCGCGGCAAAACCTTCCCATCCACGACGCCAAGCGCGGTGCTGGAGAGTCGAAGCAGATCGGACCGATCAACTCGCGCCCAGCCAAGACGTCATATCCAAGATTAGGCAGAATTAGGGTTGCACACACACCCACAGGGACAGCAGGACAACGCAGGACAACACACACACACATACACACTTCCACTACACACAGTCAACCTTCCGCCGTACCACGAATCAAACCCGCCTGGCTCCGTTCCCGCCCGGCGGTGCGTGCGCGTATTGGGGCTCCGACCCGCGCTTACCCCCTTCCACCTCCTTCCTCTCCACCACCAACACATCCATACCTCATACATCATCCTCATACACTCTACCCCATATCGCCGCCTCCCCCCTCCACATCTGCCGCCGGTGCTTGGCGCTTGGCGTTTGGCGCTTGGCAGACGCGGCACAGCAAGCTTGTTTGGCGGCGGCTTGGCTGCATGTCGTGGCGGTGGGTTATGCGGCTGCCGGCTGGGGCAGACGCGGGTGAGAGAGAGAGATAGGGGGGTTTGGTTCCGTGGGCTGAATTCGGAGGGATGGATTCGGAGGGGCGGTGCTTGCGTGGGTCTGCATGCTTACCTGGCTGCATGCTTACCTGCCTAGTGGAGGGGGTGAGGTTGGGTGCGTGATTTTGTCGTTGTTGTTATTGTTGTCGTTGTCGTCGTCGTCGTCGTTGTTGTTGTTGTTGTTGCGTCGTTGATAAAGGGTATGGGTGTTGGGGAGTGTCGGTCATGACTCATGGGGTTGTTTGCGTTTAGAGGGTTCGGCTTGGAAGACATATGCACGGCTGCTTCGTCGGCGTCCGGGTCAGCCTCCCCATTGTTCAACCATGGGTATGAGGCCCACCTTCGTTGTATTATTCTTTTGTATTACTCCTTTTTGTTGGGTGCATGTTTGCTGGGGGGAAATCCGTGATCGGGGGATTGGTGATGTTTTGGGCAGATAGACGAGACCAGCTCAGCTGCTCAAATGGGAACAATTGACTGGCCATTCTTCAAAGAGACGAATAAGTAAGAAGACAAATAAATTTTTCGGAGCAAGGCGTACCCGTGGATCTGCTGGCTTTCGGTTTCTCATGCGAATTTACCCGACAGCCCCAACAAGATTGGTCGCGCTGAATGCGTTATGGAGATCGAGGGTTTGTGGGAGTGAGTGACAAATGCCGTTGGTGCTGGGCCTCAAGGGGGGTAGGCGTTGTTAAACTGAGAAAACGCTCAACAGCAAAGGAGCTCTGTAAATCTCACATTGTAAAACACTCTACACTGTGGGGACTATACGCCCCGTGTTGGCTTCCACCATGGACCTTGTGCGCCATCCCGAGCCGACCCCCGCTGCCGTCTACTCATATCATAACCAAGGCTCTCGTCGTACCAAAACCACCACGTGCGCTTCCTCGGTTCAGGCTTGACAGAATCAGGGCTTATATCCTCGCCCTGCATATATGCCTCGCTGGTCTCTTTCATCTGTCGGCGCATCCAAGTTAGCAGATCGTCATCATCCAAGGAGGTGCGGAGGGTATCCATGTCCCATATAAAGGGGTGCGCGCCCTGCATGTAGAACGCCGCCAGCCCGTCCTCCCGCACCAAGGGTATCAGAGGATCAATCACACATATGTAACCATCCAGAATCTTCTTGGCGCGAGGCTTCGTCATCATCTCGCGGCCGAACGCTGGGACGTCGTGGAAATCTGCCATGACCAGGCGGATGGTAAGCGCGGATGCGTTAATGAGATTCCGAAGGGCGCTGACGGTGGCGGACCAGTCTTGGGCCGCGCTGTGGCTCGCATGGGACCAGCCGTGGGGCACGTAAGGGGGGAACACCAGCTCGAGGAAGCGGATGTGGGAGAGGCAATGAGAGGGAACGATGTCGCAGAGGAAGTGGGAAGCGGCGTAGCAATCGAATGGGTAGTAGTCCCTGGGGCCAGACGGGTCCGGCATCTCGGAATGTTGGAGTTGTACGTCGGGGAGCTGCCAGGGCCGTGAAGCCTCATGATCGTGAATGATGAAATGGTTTTGCGAATAGAAACGAACTCGGCTTCTTGGAGCAAGGTTCGGTAGACGAGAAATAGATATGTTGGCGGACACTAGCATTTGCAGACGGCCGAGAAGGCGCTGTGCCTGCGGCGGCAGAAGCAGCCGGGGGACCGAGTCTGGTTTTCGACGTGGTCATTACCAGGGTCGCATCGGCTAAGTCGACAGCCATGGTGAATATGGGGGTCTTTCCTCTCGTCGCACAATGGGCGATATACTTGATAGGCCCAGTCCTTTCTACTCCACGTAACCTCCTTCCAGGGCATTATAAGGTCGGTGTATTCGAGTATACGGAGGCGTACCTCAGTCGGAAGGCCGATCGGAGTCAACTTGGACGATATGCCATTATTAGAGCCGGGTAAGAGGACAGAGGGATTACCGGGGTCTTGGCCTCGGAGAACGGCTTCTTGGGCCAGTCATTGGAGTTGCTGGTTGGGCATTTTGCAAAGGCGGACGTGGCAACCTTTCAGCCTTGGGAGCAGGGCGATCGGGGCAATGGCGAGCCGGGCGATGTCGAGTGCAGATTGATGTTCAGCGCTGATGTCGCAAACAAACAAGACTGTCAGACGCCCGACACCAACATGTGGCGATAGGTAAGCTGCGGTCTCATGCCATTCGCTCATGATGGCCGAGGCGTTGGCTACTTGCTCGGCGGGCTCCTGGTTCATATCCAGGGGGTAATCGAGTAAGGGGCGGCTGTGTCGGTTGGCATGGTGCTTGCAACCAAAACGGTCCGCCATGGCCCGTTATCGTGGCCGTAAAAACAGCAAGAGGGGCCGCTTTGCCAAGATTCGGGTGAGGTGTGACAGGACGACTCGTTGAGGCCGATCTTTAGGTTGGCTAAGGAGGCGAGAGAGGTTGGCGATAGCGCGCGAAGAGGCCCGAGGGAGCCTTGGTGGGAGTAGGATACGACGAATCGGTTGGATAAATAAAACAAAGCAGTCGTTTCGGCGTATAGGGCATGGCACGATCGTAATAAGCCCATAAAGTTGCTCGTAGGTGGCGACTCATCACGATCGAGTATTGAGATGGAGGCCTCAGAGTGCGGCGGTGGCTTACGACCGTCCAAATAAAATATTAAGGGGTGGCCATCGAAACTTGCCATGCCCAAGTAGTGGTACATATATATGCGGTGACGGACATAAGGAACGAGGTCGAGGAGTCCCTGTGCTCGGGTTGGTTGAACTTGGCGGTTTCGCGTCAATGTCATTGTCGGCAATTGTCAATTTGCAGGTTTGGTTATCGTAGTAATAGTAGTGTGGTGAACTTTTGTGGGTCAAGTTAGAGGGCGAGTTCCATGTTACGGGCGCATAGGCAGCAAGGAAGGAAAGAGAGCAAAAGATGCGAAGGCCATCTACCTGGGTACATTACCTAGGTACCTAGGTACTTAGAAGACAGGGAGGTAATGGTGGGGGTGCAAACGCCAGGTCGTCTAGGTACGGAGGCTACGCGCACGCGTGGGAAAAAGGAAAGCGAAAAAGAGAAACCATCCAAGTTTAGAGTATCATTCGCCCTACAACACGCGTTTACCGCGCCGACCTATACTTCTAAATCCAACCCTGTATAATTTAATCATACTACCCGCCTTGCTTTTTTCCTTTCTTTCCGGCCCCTCGGACATGCCCACCTCGTCTCGCGTCACTCCCATGACTCGGTGAGTCCCCTCGCGTTTTGGCGACGGTAATCCTTAATATCCCATGCCGCTTTCGAAAGAGCAAACAGCTCTTCGCGGTCCACTGCCGCGTCACACATGCCCCTGAAGATGCCGTCCTTGTGCTGAAGCAACTGCCACGAATGGCCACACTCCTCCACGCGCCCCGCGTCCAGGCCCAGGATGCGATCGTAGTCGATAACGGTGCGGAGACGATGCGCAATCGTAATGACAGTAGCTTCCATACTCCGGATGCACGCCTGGATCTTGAGATCCGACTCGTCGTCGATCGAGGCTGTCGCTTCATCCAGGACGACCACCTTCGAGCCTTTCAACACAGCACGCGCAATGCACACGAGCTGCCGCTGGCCCTGGGATATGTTGGAGCCCTTCTCGGTCAGGATGAAGGATAGACCCGCGAACTTTCCTGCTTCCCGTGAATCGAGCAAGCCAACTCGCGTCAAGACATCGAGGACCGCCTTGTCGGTGTGCTCGTTGTACGGGTCGAGATTGAGACGCAGCGTCCCAGCAAAGAGGGTCGGGTCTTGCGGCACGTAGGCGAGCCTGCTGCGCAACGCGTGCAAATCTACCGTCTTGGTGTCCAAGCCGTCGATTAGAATCTGCCCGCAGTCGATTTCTAGGCCGCGCAGCAAAGTCAGTGCCAGGCTGGATTTTCCCGCCCCTGTGCGGCCGACAATGCCCACTCTCTCCAGGGGCTGGACTTGGAAGGACAGGTCCCTAAGCACAGGGTCTAAGTGAGCTGCGTAGCGAGCAGAGACTTCTCGGTATTCCACCAAGCCTGACGGAGGCCATTCTTGGCTTGGTTGCGTGGGGGATGTCGCCTCTTGCGCCTCGGCACTTTCGTCCAAGCAGCCACGAACACGCTGGAGACTAGATGGCACCGTATTAGCTCGTTGGACCGCTGCTTCAAAGAGCACATTGTAGACGACTTACGCGGTCATATTCTGGGTAGTCACCATGTAATATCGGATTAACCACAGTACCTGGTCTGAGAAAGCAATGGCATATGACATGCTCAGCCCAATCGTGCCGGCATCCCCGTTACTTCGGATGGAAAAAGAGCCAGCAAACAGGGAAACGAAGGCACTTGTAAGACTGAGCCGGAGAACCAACCACCTCTCCGTAGCCCCAAGGAAGAATGAAGGTTGGTTCAGTTTCCGAACTAGAGCTGAACTGTTAGCCAGATAATCCTTCTCTGCCCCGTAGGCACGGATGGTGACAATTCCGGACAGCGTCTCGCCAAGATGCTGGAGAACCGGAGATTGACGTGTCGATTCAAGAGCTTTGAGATCACTCGATGACGAGATATAGACCTTGGCAATGAAGTAGTAGACAAGAGAGATGATAATCGCTGGGAAAAAGAACTGCGGAGTTATGACGACGATGAGAATCGTGGTAGCTGTAAGTGACCCCACGAAATGCAGGGTGGCAATGGCGAGCATGGCTAGATCCTGATCAACAGTCCTCATGTCTCTAGAGAACAAGCCGATCAACTGGCCAAACGATTTGTCGTCAAAAAATCTGAGATTCGCACTTAAAACGGACTTGAGAAGACTGCCGTGGATGCGTTCCGAAGCCGTCAAAGAGCCGACGGACAAGATGTACAATCTCATGAAGCCTATCACAAAATAGACAGCAAGAAGAAGGGCGTAGATTGCGAAGTAGTGCTCTAGGCCCCATGCAGACGCAGAGACCGACTTCTCGACTGTCTCATCCGCTGAGTGGTGTTGCATTTCTACCGTCGCATTGGAGAGTCGCTGAACCCACCAGTTCACGGCGATGGATCCAACTTGTTGCGCCGCGAAGAAGACGACTAGGGAGATCCAGTATTTCCATCCGCCCATGGAAGTGAGGTACTTGATGATGGTGTGTTTTGTATTCGGTCCAGCAGGTTCGGCGACATGTGAGTCGGACTTTTTCCCTTCTTCCCGCTCCGTTTCGTCCGCGGGATTCTGATCCGCTTCACCGTCGCCCGACACATCTTCTTGAGTGGCGTGATTGCTCGGTCCATTTGCAAGCTCCGGCAGTTGGCCTTGAACTACCAAATCCTGGTGAGAACCCGCGGCAACCACGGTGCCATTGTCGATGCGGACGATGTAATCGGCGCCAGGCGTTGTAAGTGCAACATTGTGTGTTGCCAGAATGCAGGTGCGTCCCTGCATCAAACGTCCTGTAATGCATCTCTGGAAGATCCGTGAAGTAGTGTGAGCGTCAACAGCGCTCAGGCAGTCATCTAAAAGCAGATGGCGCGCATTGGAATAAACCGCGCGTGCGAGGGAGACACGTTGCTTCTGTCCACCAGAAAGAGACACTCCCCCGTCTCCAACCGAGGTGAGATCGCCGCGAGGTAATACCTTCAGGTCGGCCTCGAGGGCGCAGGCCTGTAGGACAGTCTTGTAGCGCTCTTCATCGAGGGGTTGGCCGAAGAGGATGTTGTTGCGCACCGTGTTGTTGGTTAGCCAAGCCTCTTGAGCACAGAAGGCTACACCCTCAACCAAGCCTGTCTTCTCATCCTGAGACAGAGCTTCGTGAGAAACCGCAGCAGGCATTCTCACACTTCCGGAGAGAAGCGGCATCTCTCCCAATAGCGCGTAGAGCAGCGAAGACTTGCCGCTACCGGTAGCTCCAATGACGATATTGAGCTTTCCAACCTTAAACTTGAAGGAAAGGTCTTTGAGAGTGAATGGTTTGGGACTCTCTGTTATCTTGCCGTCCGTTGATGGAAGATTTGTCGCCTCGCTCTTCCTTGCTGGCCAGGAGAACGTCGCGTGATCGAAGCCAATTTTCACTTGGCGACCGGTGGGTGAACCAAGGACTTGATATTTCTCTGTTTCCTCCTCGCCCAAGAAGCTCTCCACCCGCCCGATAGCCACGACGGAGCCCTGGACACGTCCAATGATGCTGATCAAGTCGTCGATCGGTGACTTCAAGAGGTTGAAGAGAGATAGCGACGTAAAGGTAAGTGAAGGTGTCAACGACTTCCCCCCGATAATTGAGTAGCAGAAGAAAGAAGAAAAGGTGATAAGCAGAGGCAGGCCGTACCATATGGTTGCAGAGATCGACCAGAGCATATAGCGGGCACGAAGCACCCTGAGTTCGGCGGCACGTTGGTCTCCAAGCTTCTGCTGGAAAAAAGAGTCCCAAGCAATGAGCTTGATGACTCGAATACTGCGGATCATCTCGGTAGTGCTCTGGACTCTGATGTCCGATGCAGCCATAGCTTGCATCTGGATGGCGCCCAAACGTTGGGCGATGCGCGAGTTCACAGGCACCATCAGCGCCATCACCGCAATTCCTGCAAATGCGCTCAGCCCCAGAGTCCAGTAGAGCAACGTGACGGCCATGACAATTTGTATGGGGACTGAGGCCCAGACCTGGTGCATGTTGGCCCCCAAATCAGCAAGCTGATTGATATCGCCGGTGAAGAGGTTCGTGATGGTACCAATGTCAGCAGTTTGCCCTCCGGACCCGCCGTTAGAAGACCCAACGGCGGCCGGCCGTCTCAGTGCTTTCTGATAGACGGCGGCAATTAAGATTGTCTTCAGCCGGAGCCCAATCTTCTGGCCAAGCCAAATGGTTCGAGCCTCGGCAGCGGACGCCAAAACACTGGTGGCAAATACGAGCATCACGTAACCCTGAGCTTCCTGGATAGAGGACTCAGTTGAGCCCTCGATAAAATGGAGGATGGACTTCCAAAGCAAAGTTGGCATGAATGTTAGGACTGCCCAAGCAATCGCCACGACCCCCTGAACTGCCAGCTGCGGCCCGAAATGTCGTAGAAGGGTCTGAACAAGAGATGCACTAGGTATCAGAAGGGCAAAGTTAGCATAATCCATTTTACACGTCGCAGCAATGGCAAATATACGACTCACCTCCCCGGCTTCGTCTGAACTACACGCTCGTCGGCAGCGCTAAGCAGAGCCGGCGGTTCCGGAACGTCCTGAGGCTGCAGATTCCCAGTGCGCCAGGCCTTCAAGAGCATGCCGTCTAGCCAGGCAAACGCCCAAAGGCCAATAACGCTGGACTGGGACTCGCGCGTCGCGTTCAGTTCAAGGTGGACATCCCCCTGGACCGCGCGCGGCGAGATCAAGGCCGTGACGAGCAGAGCAGCTGATACTTTGGTTGCGGTCGAGCTAGCACCAGAGGTTGCGGCGGCCACGAGCAAGGAAATGGCGTAGAGTGCAGCCGAGTGATAGCGAACAGCCCGTCCGGCGTGCTCGAGGCCGGAGGGCGGAAGCAAAGCCAGAACATACAATCCACTTAGGTATGACCAGAAAGTAATGCCGACCCAGGAACTAGCAGATGCACTTGCAGCGAGGCCATCCCGGTTGAGCGATAAGGCCGTTGCCAGGAGCAGACCTTCGAGGGCAGTCAGGAAGACACCGCGCACAGATTTGGCGGGTGTTTGGGCGGCACGTTGGCGGCCCGGGGTGGAGGATGCTTTGCGTAATTGCCGGGCAAGTAGGGTACCAGACGCTGAGACTGTGAAAATGATGAGGGGGAGGTGGAACTGAGAATAGCTGCGCAAGAAATGGAACCAGGTGGTCAACCACTGCTTGATCATGGTGTGGGTGGCTCAGGCTTGCTCACCGCTCGACGAGCTCTGTCACAATTGGGGCGGGCGCTACGTCCCATTCTAGAGTCATGGTAACCACGCACTGGCTGGCGATGGACTATTAAAGCCAATGCTGGAGATCCGAAGCCTAAGGGCGGTGGAACAGGTAATTGAGATGGATGGGAGAGAATTGCACGGGCTTGGGAAAGCAGTGAAGGAATCTATTATCTAACCCCGGCATGGCAGTTTAGAAGTTCCTATTGGCTGCCGACTCTGACAAGAACAGTCAGACCGAGCCGGGAACGATGGGAAGCGCGAGGGACGCTAGGTACCTATTTTGGGTCTGGTTGAGCCGCTGCGCCGCTGCGCCGCGGCACCGTTGTGCTAGGAGTAGAAAATGGATGACAGGTTGAAGAAAACGGCTTCTATTCCATAACATGTACCCTGTAGCTGTTCTGCTACTCCAGCCCGCTTTCCTACTTGTTTAAGCCAACCGCAAATTATCTGGTTGCTGTGGAGAGGGGGTGGGGACTGAGGGCCAGAGTTGGGGGCCAGAGTTCCAGGTTGTCTTTGAGGATGCGCGGGGGGCAGGGAGAGGTTGAAAGCGGCAGTTAAAGCACCAGGAGGTTTGGCGAGCTCACGGTTTAGTATCAGAGCTAACTTGGGTTAGTATGGTGCCTGGAGTTGCTGCATGTGGGCGAGCTGGCAGCTAAATAGCGGAATCCTGGACTCGGGTTTAAAGACTCCTCGTTCCGTCGGATGGGAGGTCTCGGTCCCGAGGGGCACTAAAGAGCTAGCTACAGCCGCGCCGTCGAGTTGCATAGGATGTAAGTTGCCCCGGGGCTTCCCCGTCGGCGCTGCTTGTTCTATAGTTAGAGACAGCACCTACTCTTACTAGCTAAAAAGAGTTTCAAGCTTGGCTCCCAAACCCCTCGCTCCCTGTGTCACCCGCCATTAACAAGGCCGTCAAAAGCTAGTAATAATTGCAGCGTAAGCACTAGGGGCTATTTGCTTGTCTCCTTCCTATCTAGACCCTGGGAGGTACGTGTGCTCATGCAAGAAGGAGTGACAGCATACGAAGACCGCGTCCCAGTTATCACTACAACGCAAAATCACGATGTAGCGTACATCAACGTCAAATAAGGCTTTTGGAGAATAATATCGCGTAAGTTATTCTAAACACAGCGTTCCAAATACAGACAATGTCATTCCCCAGTCATATATCGCTGCGTCGCCATCCCCGTCGCGCCAGGCTCAATACCAACGCTTCTAGCTAACCCCCATCTATCTGTTGTGGACCTGGTACGACCTTGCGTTGTTGATATTGACGCAACCACCAGTGGCGGACAGGGTGATGCCGCCCCTACATTCTTCCGGTTGACGGAAGACGATCTCTGCTGCGGAATTAGACCAACTGGAGGGAACTTAAACGATAATAACAGAAAGACTGACTGCTCTGGGCATCTTCGGGGTTCTGCTGGGTGATAACCACAGACTGGGCGTTAGCGGGAATGCCGCGGCACACGTAGTTGGGGGGGATCGACGACGGGAAACTGCACGCCTAGCAGAGCCGACCTGCAGTTGGCGCCGTTGTAAAAGCTGAGCCTGTATCCCTGGGACACAGAGATCAAGCCGGCAGCTAGGGACAAGCAAGAGAGCTTCGTGGTGCGAGTGTAGTAGCGTAGCTGCTGGTGGAAGCTGTGTGGTTGTTGGTGAATGTTGTGCGGGAGATGGCGTCTGAGATTCTAGAAAATGGCGGACGGCGTTGAGTTTATATAGACCTCTAGCAAAGGGGATGCCTCCTCTCACACGGTCCTGTGGTTGACGGCACCGATATTGGGTCAGCCGTCGAAAGTTCTCAGCATCACAATGTTGGTTACCATCCCCGGCTGATTTGCCAACACGGCGTTGTGTTCAAGAAGATAGAGGTATCGGCGACTTGGTATTGAGGCACGGTAAGTAGCGAGATACAGTTGGTCTGCTCGGCTAGAATCGCAATTCCGAATTCTGGTTGTACGGCATGCATGCGGTCATGCTCAGTGTCTGGCTCTTCCAGTCCCCTTTCCGCTGCCATCACGACGTGGTCGCCAGGCAAAATGCATCTTGTGCTGGCGCTTCGCAGAGGCGGGACACGACAAACCAAAGAAAGCATGTATTCATAGCCCGGTTCCTACATAAGGTATGCGGCCTTGTTTATTAAATCTCACAACCACACAACCCAGAAAGATCCCAACATCATCATCACCATCAACACCACCATGACCATGATCAAACCCTGTACTGATCCCCCGCCCTCAGCTTCCCCAACATGACCTGCAAATGCACCGTCCCCTCCCTCCCCGTCTCCAGCTCATCCACTTTCCCCCACTTCTCCTCCAGCACCCCAATCGCGCCCTTCAACCCAAACCGATGCAAAAACCGATACACCGCCGCATGCGCACTATCCAACGCCCCCACAATCCACGCATGATGCGCGCTCGCCGCCTCCCCTACAATATGGAACTTGCTATCCGCCGCCGGACGCGACAGGTACGGATAAAAATTACTATACTGGCCCGGCCCGAACAGCGCGAATGCCCCCGCCGTGTTCGGGTCATGCGACCACGAGTAGGCATGATGCTCGCCCGTGTAGGCCTTTCTCAGCTGGGCGTACGTGATGTGCCGCGCGTGCAGCCGCGCCAGGTCCTGCAGGATCAGCTCGACCAGCTCGTCCTCGCCGGCGGGGGACGCGCGGCTGACGAGGGAGGCCGCGCGCGTGGCGTCCTGCGCCCAGGTGTAGGAGGCGAGGAGGACGGCGGGCTTGGTCGGGTCGTCGGTGGTGTTGTAGGACGGGTACACGCACGTGCGGAGGGGCAGGTCCGTGGAGGCGACGCCGCCTTGTGTGATGCCGCAGTCGACGATCCACCAGGGGTAGGTGAACTTGAGGGCGACTTTGACGGAGTGGTCGTAGTGCAGGCTGCGGATGGCGTCTTTTTGGGAGGGGTGCAATTCGAGGCTGCGGAGGTCCATGCGGCCGAGGCAGCCGAGGGAGGTGGTGGTGAAGACGGTGCTGTAGCCGCGGCGGGGCTCGGCCTCGCCGGCGCACTTGACGGACATGTTGCCGTCGTCTATGGTAAGCTTGCCGTCCTTTTCTTCGATGGTGTTGCGCTCGATGGAGATGGCCTCGACGCGCTTGCCGGTCGTGACCTGGGTACGTAGCCCGGCATGCATGGCATCGGTTAGGAGGCTGGTGCCCCCCTCGATACAGTACCACTTGACGCCGCCAGGCTGGGGGTTGTCGAAGTCGAACGAGTCCATGACACTCTCGGAGAAGGCTTGGTCGAAGAGGTTGGTGGACGTATTTTGTGTTTCCAGCCACTGAACGGCGAAGAAATCGTACTTGGGCTCCGTGCCGTCCGGCCCACCTCTCTTCAAGTACTCGCGGGTGCTGAAGTCGTCCACCTTCATGAGGTCGGCAAAGCCTTTGTTGAAGTTCAAAGCCAACTCTTTCTTGTACGGGCCAAAGGCATCTTCGAGGATCTTGCCGACATTGTCGACGACGTGATTAGGAACGCAGCCCCCGTTTGCAGTGCTGACGTGATAGGGGTCTGGGCCATCCGTAAAGAAGTAATCATTGAACAGGTCAGGAGTGTTGGGACCCTTTAGATAGTAATCCCTTACTGGCATGTTTGTGAGTTTGAACAGGTCAAAAGTGCGCTTCATGGTAGGAATGTCTGGGTAGCGCATGGCACCGATGTCGTAGTAGTCATGGGGACCGTCGGTAAAGTGATGGGTATAGACGCGGCCGCCGACCCGGGAGTTGGCCTCGAGGATCTCGTAGGTGAGATTGGGGATTTCCAGGCTGTCCAGAATCATGGCGATGTAGAGGCCCGCAATACCCGCACCCACGATGCACACCTTGCGTGGTGGAGGCTCCTGCTCTTCAGGGCCGCCCAGAAACCCATCACGTGGAGACGAGGTGTCGGGCGGCAGGTTGTCATGGGTCCAAGGGGTGTCGAGTGGGACGCCGGCCGTCGACAAGAGACTTTTGGCTTCCGCCCCGGATCTCCGTTGCAGGACATTCAGTTCTGCGGCGAGCTTCTCGCGGACTAGCCGCCGGGCCCACAGAGCTTTCATGTTGTTGTCCCGGTTTGGGATGTGAGAAGCGATGGTTGTCGTGGTAGCCATGGCTCTCAAGCTCAACCAAAAATGGGACTGATGACTGTTCAAATGCTGTCAAAGTTGAGTTGAGTGGAGGCAGTTTGAGTTTGAATGCGCACCTTCAGCCCACGGACCCCCAGTTATATGTACCTCCATGACGAAAGACGTTGCCACTTCAACCCTCGTGTCCGAGTCCCCCTCCATGGTTTTCTCGTCCAAGTAAATCACTTGATTAAAGCGGCAAGAGCGCTTGAATTTGTTATACGAACCCGCCACAACCGCTGTGAAAACAACAAAGGGAAAGCAATTGCGGAGTCAGCGTTTCCCAAACAGTAACCCTCTGCAGGTTTTGCTGCACCTGGTAACTTTGGGGCCGCGTTGTGACGCCCATAGTTAGCAGACATTGGTTCGACGCCCCCCTTATTGCGGGGATCAAGCAGCCCGCATAATTTCAGCCAGCCTTCGTGCTTGTCACTCCGCAACTCGACCTCGCCCTGCGTCACCATTGGGGAAGAGGCATTCCACCACGTTGCGTACGTTACGTAGCAAAGAGAAGTTGACTTGTCTCGGTTGGTCTCACCCGAGCTTGTGTGCTGTGGGTTGCAATCCCCGTGTGAGTACATTTGCCTAATGAGTACCATCATACCATGCATGTGCCCGATATGTAGGTGTCTTCGGCCAGTTTCATCTTTGCCAGCAATTCCAGTTTTCCCGCAAATTCCGTGGCATCAAGCAATCTTTCCCGCACCGATCTGACAGAGGCACACCTAGAAGTCGTCATGGCCGTTGAAGTCTACGATGTGGTCGTTGTGGGTGGTGGTGCAGTCGGGCTCGCAGCTGCCTACGAAGTGGCCAAAACCAAGTCCAGCGTGCTGGTGCTGGAACAAAACAACTTCTTCAACCAAGCCGGAAGCTCCGGCGACCTGGCTCGGATGTTTCGAACCATGCATGTCTTCCCTCTGTTATCGGCATTGGATCACCGAACTAACCACTCCCCCCATAGGTACACCGAGAACTTCATGGCCGACCTTGCGAAAGAGGCACTGGACCTCTGGGACGATCTTGAGAAAGATGCTAGTATCTCTCTTCGTTGGATGAGCGGACTTCTCAACTTCGGCGACAAACACATGGGTAGTGACACCCCGGAAGGTCAGTCTCGTTCCTCAATTTAGAGTTTGAGACCGCTCGACGCCTAAGCATGAGACTTATGCATACACATTCAGGCACGCTATTGGGCCCGATCCCTAACCTCGAGAGGCTCAATATGCCGTACAAGGAATGTAAGAAAATAGGGTTATTCCGACGTGCCTAGGAGGCATGCAAAGCCAAGACGCGCACAGGGGAGCTAATAGTCGCAATCTAGTGACGGCCCAAGAGATTGAAGCGAAGTATCCCTTCAAGAACCTGCCCTCGGACTGGATGGGCCTCTATGCACCCGACAACGGTGTCATAAACGTCCAGCTCCTATTGCGGACGCTGCTGAGCCTGGCCAAGGACTACGGTGCCGAAGCTAAGCAGCACACCCAGGTCGACGGAATTGTCCCTTCGGCGAGCGACAGCAACATCTGGGAGGTGCACACAACACGCCACGGAAATCCGGATGAGAGTGTGACCTTCAAAGCGAAGAAGATCGTGATTGCATCTGGCGCCTACGTCAACCATGTGTTACAGCCAAGCTTTAACATATCGCTTGATCTCGATATCTGGGAGATGGTTGCTTGCTATTTCAACGTCAACGCTGGACCACAAGGAACAATCTTTCCCAGTAAGTTCGTCTTTTATTCTCTTTTCTATTGCCATGGCTGCCATAAGAGGCACTGACAACCTATAACCAGGCATGTGGTTTCAGTTTGCGCCTGACAAGGACAACAGATCGCAGCTCTTCTATGGCTTCCCCACCCTACCCTGGGGCCCTCCCAACGTTGCCCGTATCGCGGTCGATGCAGCCACCCGCCGCATCAAGGACCCCATAGAAAGACAGACGAACGTCGTGAACCCTGACGACATAAAGGATACGCAGGAGTTCGTCAAGAACCATGTCGTCGGCGTCGATTCGACTGTCCCGGCTTCCACATTGACTTGTCTACAAACCAACGTGTTCGGTGCGTGACGTTTACATCGTTCATGGCTAGACGGCAGGCACATATTAACTGATAACACTTGTACCACTCAGACAACATGTTCGTCCTCGACTATATCCCGAAGGAGTACCTCGGTAGTGGCCCGGAGAAGAGCGTTGTCGTCTTTACTGCTGGCTGGGCCATGAAATTCGTCCCTCTACTTGGAAAAGCACTGGCGGAGATGGCCCTTGACGGCGCTTCCGAGTATGCCCGCGAAGAGTTCTCGATCACTCGTAGGGACAAAGATGGCAAGGGCATTATTGTGGCCGGTGAGCAACATGACCTGGCGGGCAGGCTGAGTGCGTTCACTTTTGAGGGACAGGCCTCGGGGTCATCCGTCAACGGGGTTCGCAACCCGGGACTGTAGGGTTCTTACTTGTGCTCGGCAACAAGAAAAGGTTGCGCTGGTCAACCAGAGTGATTCGCACACAGCAGGTGAGGCAAACGAGAACAGCCGCGCTACGGATACTGCAAGACAGACATTGGACCCGAGACATGCATCAAGTGAATGTGAAAAGCGAAGTGTTGGCAGCCAGCACAGTGGAGGCTTCGTTTGACACCCATATTGTTTAGTTATGACCTTACGTGTATCCAGCCCAATAATATTCTGGATGTCCAGGGGCACAATCACTCAAGATACGACTTATCAAACCCCCAAAAACACATCCTCAAGGTGAACCTTATATGTCACACTCAGCCAGATATGAAAAAACCACAGGCGGGGAAACCTCCCTTAAACCCCACCCCCCCCCCAGCCCGAACAACCCTCACCTCAACGGCTTCCCCATCGCGCGTATCCTCGCTCCAAAATTCCACTGCACCAGCGGCCCCACCACGCCAAACACCACCGCGATGAGCGCCAGCACGGTATTCGACCAACCCCAGCCCAGCCGCTGTTGCATGGGCGGGGCAAAGATGGGAAACACAAACCCGCACACCATCCTCAGCACCTGGGACGCGCCCATCGCCGACGCCGTGTAATCCGGGAACGAATCCAGGACATACGCCGACATGGCGCTCGTGTGCAGCAGCAGGCCGAACCCGACGATGGCCGCGCCGACGTCCGTCATGATCCAGTGCAGACGCGCGTTTGCGGACCAGCCGTACCAGAGCAGGCCTGTGGGTATGAAGATGGCCCCCGGGAAGGTGAGGGGGATGCGGTACTCGGGGGCCGTGGCGCCGTTGGCGCGGCGCTTCAAGACCCCCCAGAGGCGGTCCATGGCGTACGCGCCGAGGAAGTTGGCGGAGAGGTTGCCGATGGCGATGGCGATGTAGTGCAGTCCCGTCTGGGCGACGGACTCGTGGTAGACGTCCGCGTGGAGGATGGCGAAGGTGGCGAGGAGGTAGTAGAGAACTCCGAAGTTGAAGGCCATGAAGACGGAAACGAGTTGCAGGATGGGCTGCGTGGCGAGCATGCGCGCCGGGCGGGCGATGCTGACGAGGAGCTGGCGCGGGAGGGTGGTGGTGTGGGTGGCTTTGTTGAACTGGGTGTAGTGCGGGCGGCCGGTTTGCGCGGTGAGGCGGGCGGCTTTGTCGCCGAGGATTTTGGCGTGCGAGGTCTCGGGGAGGAGGACCAGGGCGAGGAGCATGAGGGCGCTACAAAAGATGGCGGCGACCCAGAAGATCCAGCGCCAGCCGATGGTGTCGGCGATGGCGCCGCCAAGAAGGGGGCCGAGGGCCGGGCCGAGCAGCGGGACGGCGTTGACCAGGGCAAAGGATTGGCCGCGCTGTTCGGGCGGCCAGATGTCGCTGGTGATGGGGAGGGCGATGACGAAGTCGACGCTGCCGCCGATGCCGGCCAGGAAGCGGGATGCGACGAGGGTGGGTTTGTTGTGGGAGAAGCCGCTCACCACGCTCCATCCGCTGTAGATGAAGCCGCTCACGATCCAGACCGGCTTGCGGCCGTACACTTCGGCGAAGGGGGCAAGGAGGAGCGGTCCCACGGCAAAGGCGAGGATGAAGATAGAGAGCGCCGACTCGGCTTCGGATGCAGTCATACCCAAGTCGAGGCCGAGGGCTGGCAGCGCCGGCGCGATCATGCTCCCCGACATGAGCGTAACGAAGCCTCCGAGTGACACAAAGATGGAGATGATCCATTTGAGCGCCGGCCGCATGTTGACCGGGTTGGCGGGGTCATCCGGGCCATCCCAGGTTACCTTTCCGGTTGTTAGCTGGCCGCGCAACTCGCGCCATGAACACCATCATAAACAGGGGGACATTGGAGGGGGCTTGCCAAGCCGGGGTCGGGCTGCTCGCTAAGGTCGATGTTTTGCAACTGCGTCTCGGTGCCTTTTTCCTCGTCGCTCGCGGACGGGAGCGTCGCTGTCCCCTCGACAACGGCCACCACCTGCTTCTCATCCTCCTTTTGGGCTTCCTTCCTTTGGTTCATGGTAACAGGGTGACTCATTGAGATGCGCCTTCGACTGCAATTGAGCCAACGAAAACAGCAAAGAAAGAGAGAGGTCGAAGTGAAAAGGAGCCAAGAACTGGGACTCGAGTTGCTGACATGGTGTGCGCGGCGGCAACCGATCGGTGTTACGAGTCGAGCTGCACGGCGTGTTGCCCGTCTGGGCAGTTGCCGGTTGGACTGCGCTGCACTGTCATCGCAGTGACAGTGCATATGCTCGCTATGATTGCGTGGCTAATGTGAAGGGAGGTGCCACCCTCGGCCGAATTCGGCAGGTACTATGGACGGTTTTTACACGCGCCGTCACGCAAACACATGGAAAGCACCCGGGACGTGTACCCAGTGGTCCTGGGTAGGGAGGCAAGATAATCTCGAGACCCTTTGGCAAGGATTGGAAACTTGGCCAACCCCAGTCTTTGCAGCAGTTCAGACAACCAGAGCGACCCGGAGAATTTCCTTCGTCGAGACAAGGAAGGAACTCTGGAGAGGATGATGATCAGGCCCAGTGGCCAAGAGAACTTGCCTCAATCAAGCAAGAAGCAGCCTCGCCATTATTTTTCAACTTCGTCAATCAGCCGTCTTCAGCGCCGCAGCACACAAGTCAACTTGCCGAAACACAGGTAGGGAAAAAAGACTGAATTGAGAGTTAACCTGATGCCTAGGTAGGTACAGGCGGTCAGGCCAAGCTTTAAAAACCCAGAGTTTTCTGATTTTTCGTTTCCCTCATATTTCCGTCCAGCATCTGTCATCCACCCTCATCCAACCCAACAAGAAACCCAGCTTCCAGTTCACAAAGACCGAATCCAAATCAAGTTCACACAAGAGCGCGCTCCAAAAGAAAAAAAAAAAAAACAAGCAGAAATACCAGGGGTGCCCCAGCCTTCAGGTTGTCCTTGTTGAGATTGGCCAGTGGTCGAGGGATTTAGAGCTTGTCGACGACGTAGCGGGTGGCGGCATCAGCATCCTCGCGCTTGTCAACGACATAGCGCGTCGCAGCGTCAGCATCCTCGCGTTTATCGACGACGTAGCGGGTGGCAGCATCAGCGTCGGCGCGCTTGTCGACGACGTAGCGGGTAGCACTGTCGGCATCAGACCGTTTGTCAACGACGTAGCGGGTTGCGGAGTCGGCGTCGGAGCGCTTGTCAACAACGTAGCGAGTAGCGCTGTCGGCATCCGATCGCTTGTCAACGACATAGCGGGTAGCTGAGTCGGCGTCGGACCTCTTATCAACAACGTAGCGGGTGGCGCTGTCGGCGTCAGAGCGCTTGTCGACAACGTAGCGAGTCGCGCTGTCAGCGTCGGCGCGCTTGTCAACCACATAACGGGTGGCCGAGTCGGCGTCCGATCGCTTGTCAACAACATAGCGGGTGGCCGAATCCGCGTCGGCGCGCTTATCGACGACATAGCGAGTTGCGGAGTCGGCGTCGGACCGCTTGTCAACCACGTACCGAGTAGCCGAGTCAGCGTCGGAGCGCTTATCGACTACATAGCGGGTGGCCGCGTCAGCGTCGGCACGGGGAGAGAGGTCTAGGGCATTGTTAGAGTTGCTTGCTTGTTTATTTGACAAGAGGTAGCAACTCACTAGGAATAGCAATGGCGGTGACGAGAGCGGGGAGGAGGAAGAGGGCGGTGGAACGCATCTTTGCCGTTGTTGTGGGGAGAAAAAGGGTTGTTGGGTGGATTGTGCTGGATGGGGCTGTTGGACAGGACTTGAGTTGCTGTTGAGGACTCTGAAGATTCAAAAGTCGACCGGTAATCAGGCGCTTGACCGCCGTTTTATTATCAATTCCAGGCAATCCGAATGGATGCCTTGGCTGAGACTTGGACTGGGTCGTTTTGCTCACTGCGGACTTGCCATGGCTGAGGAGGTCTCACGGCGGAGCGCCTAGGGTCCGAGCTGTGGACGGCAATGTCAGGCTCAGTTCCTCTGTCATCGAACCAAAAATTTCATCCAGAGCAAACCGATACTCAGGATTCAAGGATCTATTACCCTGCAGTCTCTGTTGGTTCTACAACCTCAGCCCCGACTGACCTGGATGCTGCACAGTCAGGGATCGGGTTTGTGGTCTTGATGGCTGCCTGCAATGACACATGTCATTGTTTGACGGCGTAGTGGTGAAGTCAACATCTCCAAGTCTGTCATGATGGGAGGACAACGCAGACGCATCGTCAGGCCCGGTTCTCTCAGTAGGGGAGGTAGGTAAACACCGAGTACACGATGGCTCCACAATGTCAGCCTTGACCGTGCATTTTCAACATTGGCCGTGGATAGGAGGAGGGACCTGGAGGTCATGGATCCATGATCCACAGACTCGAGAAGTCCTGGTTTAAAGCAGACCAGGTAAAGATATGCAAAGAATATTACGGTATGTGAATAAAGGGGTGGTTGGATAGGAGCATACCCCCTTGCTGGTACTCCCTCATACCTAGTGGGGAGGGGAGGACAGGGGTATGACCGTGCATGGCCAACCTCCCACCCAGGCCAAACCTGTGGAACTATCAGCCCTATCTTGCACTCGTAATGATCGATCTGGACTTGGGGATCACAGCCCACCCCGATTATACCCCGTTTACCTCTGAATCTCACCTTTCCGCTGCGTGCACTACCGATTTTTAGTCACCACCGCCAACATGGCCTCCGAATATGGAGAGAGCACCTCAGGCAGGGCGTCCTCAGAGACGGCACGAGCAGCAGAAAGTTCGAGTTCACCAAGCGTGGACGAGTTCGAAAAGGCGTCGCTGATGCGGGGAGATGTGCCCGATTCCCCGCGAAATAAGCCCTTCTGGAGGCGGCACTTGCTCCCCGCCGCTATTCATTTCTTTATTTTCATTGTCTACATTACGGTGGGTATCCTGGCGCTAGATTCACGGGCTAAGAGCGCGGTGGGGGGGGCGGTCATTGTTGTGGTGTAAGTGCCGAATTGAGTTAGTTCTACGCTGTTTGGTATGCAGGACTGATTGTGGTGAGAATATAGCGCCGGCAAACGAGATCATCAAGTACGAACTGCAGACGTTCAACTCGGGAGATGGACATGAAGGGCCGTATTCGGGGTATCCCCGACCGGACCTTGAAAAGGCGTGGACTGGTTTGCTTGGACGTGGGTTCTGAAACAGGTTACCCTCTGCATTTAGAGGCTCGGCTAATACATGGCAGACATGAACGTCCGACTCGGACTCGAAGATCTAGAAGCTTTCCACCGCGTGGAGGACGCCGTGCAATTACCCGACGGTTCAGGGTACGCGGGGACATTGAATGTCTACCACGAGATTCACTGCGTCGTAAGTCAACATTCTGGGTCTAACAAAAGAGAACGTGAAGACTGACAAAATTCTCAACAGAGATGGTTGCATACACACATGTACCAAGAGCATTACTACCCCAATCTAGACGACGCGCAGCGCGAGGAGAACCGGCTGCACTCAGAGCACTGCCTGAACCACCTGCGCAAGTCAGCCATGTGCCACGGAGATGTCGGCATCATCACGTACCGGTGGGGCAACGACAGCCGCCGGCCATACGCCGCTGCCACCAAGCACCAGTGTGTCAAGTGGGACGCCCTCGCGGAGTGGACTAACGAGCGGACCATTGACATGTTTAAGCCGGGGTATTTGGTGCATCCAACGCTTGGTGAGTGCGAGCCCCTTTTCGGTGCGTGCACGGAGCGGAACGGAAACGCTGACATTTGGCGACAGGACCGGTATATAGGGAGGGAGAGGAAAAGGATCTGATGGATTGAGATGAGATGAGGGGCTTTTGTTTTGATTGGTAGCGAAAACCTAGCTTCAATAGCTTTGAAGTTTGAACCTATCTAAAGTTGTTTCTTCACTTGTTTTTATTGTTCTGAATGGTGTCCCAGTGTAAGGCACCTCATCAGACTATTTGTGTCCTCCAAGCAACTGGCAAACGACAAGATCCTGAGGAGCACTTGGTAGAACATCTGCTACAGCATGAGAAAACCCAGGTGATACTGGATAACAACGTATTTCCTTTCCTGCCACGATGTCAAGACCAGACTACATACATGCTCTTGGAGGGGCCCGAGAACGCAAAGAACGGACTTAAGTGAGATTGTATGAGGTTTATCTAAATGATGTCTCTAACATTTTATTTTACCCCCACCGCTGGCCAGTACCACGGCCGCTGTTGCCGAAACCTCCTATTCATAGCCAACTCCTTAAACTTTGGAAACCACTGTCCACTGTCAGCACAGTTCACTGTCACATTAACCCAGGAAAGCTTACCGGTGTCCCAAACCCGCTGGCGGAATCCCAGCCCGGCGTAGCATGAAATCCGCTGGTATTGCATCCCTTTGAGCTCCCAAGCGTGACATCCGTAAACGCCTCATGCCCACCAGCATACAACCAAGGGTTCAGGAACCCCATCGGTGGCTCCCCGGCCGCAAGCAACGCATCGTTCACCAAGGCCACCATAGCCGCAAACGTCGGGGCCGAAGCACTCGTGCCATCGACCAGATAGGTTTTCCCATCCCACACGATCGGTCGTCTGTACCCCTGCGCCGCCACATCCGGGTATGCCCTCCCCTCCCTACGATATCTTCCTTCATACTCCCTTTTAACCACACCACCCAGATACGCATCGACCACACTCCTTTTCCCGCTCTGGTAACCCGGCCGCTTGAAATGGCGACTGAAGCCACCCCCCGAGACAAAGCCATTGCCGTCATTATAGGCCACCTCCTCTTTCACCACTCCACGCGTAGCCGCCACGGACGTTCCGTACGGACAAGACGCAGGAAAGGACGTCACGAATTCCTTGTCCGCGCAAACCTCAGGCTTACCCACGCCCCAGTCCCCGGCCCCGAAAACGATCGTCACCCCGCGCAGACCCAGCTGTGCAAAGCCCTCGCACACGCGGCGCGCATAAGCGGGGGGCACGGTGCTCTCGTCGTCACCATACGACGTGGCGACCACGCGAGGAAGCGCCTCGTCCGGTAAGGCCAGCATGTACTGCAGCCAGGTGAGGAAGGGTTCGTTGGTGTTGGTCGTTATCGTTTCGCTGGGGATGAAAGGTGGGAGCGCCCCTCCCACGGTGTACGCGATGAGGGGCGTCGGAGCGGCAATGCCGAAGAGAATCTGCGCGTCGAGAGCGCCTTCGCGGCCGTCGCGTTGGGCGCGCTGTGCGGGTGTTAGAGGGGTTTGGAAGTTGATTCCGCCGGCGACTGGGTGAGAGATGAAGGAGGCTTGGGCATCGGGACGGTAGAGGCGGAGGAACAGGTCGAGGTCGGTGAGGTTGTTGAACTCTCCCGAGTAGTTGACGAGAGCCATGCTGTTCTGGTGGGCAGCTTTCGGCGCGTAGGAGTGGGCACCGTAAAGGACCCGGATGCAGAGGGGGGTGACGGCGCTGGCGTTGCAGGCTTGGGATACCGTGAGGTTCTTGGGGAGGTGGAGGAGGTCCAAGAAGGGGACACTGCCTGGGGTGGAGGCTTCCTCCGTAGCGGCTTGATTGAGGTCTTCGCTATTGTCCTGGCGGGGCCGGAGAGGGGACGCCGCAAAAAGAAAAGAGGTAGTGGGCTGGATTGACTCGATGTGGCCATGAAGATGCGCTGGGAGCGACCATGACGGGGAGCGAACGGCAAGGGAATTTGTTTCTGAATGGTGGAACTCGGAGTATTTGGTCTGCAGAAGCGTTTCAGCAGCGTCTATGGTGATGTTGAGCGTGATCCAGTCCCTGGATGGGCTGTAGCAGTCTGGGCCTGCTACGATACCGTGCTCCCGAAGCCATTTATCGACAAGTACAAGCGTTGTTTTCGATGGTCTGGCGAACTCGTCGACTTGTCTGGCGTTGAGATATTGGCGATATCGAGGATGAGACGGGTCTGACACTGCGTTGAAGCGTGAGACGCGGGAGTTGCAAAGGTTCTTCTATTTCTTCCGCTCACCTTCCTCCAAGTTGCGAATTATTTCATCCATCCGGCCCTGGGCCAAACCAATCTGGAGGTACATGGTGCGGCTCTTGTCGGCCGGGCGCACCATTCTCCAGCCAGATGGAATGTCATGATGCTCTTTCAGCGCATATGATGCGACGACAGATCCAAACAGGGTGAATCCAAGTAACCTCATTTTGACTGGCAGCAGGATGTGACACTCCAAGAGCAAAGACTACCTTACATGTCTGGATTCTGGCAAGAGATTGAGCGTTTTCCCGCCCTTGTTGACAGGCATGACCTACTGCCGAGCTGGGCTGTGGGGAAAAGGAGGCAAAGGACGGACAGATGCAAGCGGGGGGCGTGTCACACATAGCAGACATGGATGGAACTTTGGAAGGGCTCGAAGGGGTGGCTCTACGGGACAACACCTCTCTCATGCAAGGTAACGACGTGGCCACGTGGGATCCGAGTCAAACCATGCATTCTTGCTCACCGTCCCGTCGTTTAAGCGCAATGCAAACAAGCCGTGTAATGCCTTTCGCTTTATTGCATATGACCGGAGCTGATTCTGAGGCTGTGGGATTCGGATGGGGGCCATGAGGCGGTCGCCAACACGCAGTCACGCACTGTCATCGGCCCGTCGCTGTATGACTGGACCACAAGTCGGACCTCGGAGACCGCCATGAATCCACAATCGAGACCTAGCATCTGGGTTCCATCATTGTTTTGCAGAGGTACAACCTGCCTCCCAAGGTTCCAACATCTCCTCCACCGTCCATTGTCTCGCTATTCCCAATATTGTCAACACTGAGGAATTCCGATTTCTATCCAGCACGCCCAAAATTAGGGCATAAAAGCCATGGCAATGCACTACTTCATCCGGGCTCTCAACATGAAGAAGAGCAAGAATGTGGAGGAAGAATATACGCCGGTGCGCAATTCCATGTCGGAGGACTCCAAGGATGGGCTCCTCCACAAGGAGCGCATCGAAGCCTACGAGCGGCCCCGGACCTTTTGGAGCCGGAACGGCCGCTTCATCTTAATCCAAGTTGCGCTCCTGGTGTTATACACGGCCGCTGCATTTCTCATCAGTGCCAGAGCATCAGGTCGATGTCTTAGGGGACAGCCCCTGAGCCACTCCCCGGCTAGCGATGCTGTCGTTTGGGAGGAGCGCCGCTTTGTTCTGGGCGACAGGATCCAGGAGAAGGGCATCTACTCGGGCAAGCCCCGCCCCGAGCTGGATAAGGCCTGGCATGATCTGCTCAATGGTGAGCTCAAAACAGCAAAAGGTTGCCACCACCGGACCAATCTGACACAAGACAGCCGAAAACATTCGCCTTGAGCCCGAGATCATGCATCGTCTGGGCCGCGAGAACATTGGCGTGCGAATCCCCGGCGAAGACGGCTACATCGGCACGCTTAACGTGTACCACGAGCTGCATTGCTTGGTATAGCCTACAACCCTTTCTCATCGGACTGCAAGCTAACTTGAACAGAAACGCATCCACCAGTACATGTACCAAGACATCTACTACCCCGGCATCAGCGACTCCGACCGCGAAATGAACAGGCTGCACAACGGTAACCCTACGACGATTCCCAAATACCATCTTCTAGCCCGCTAACACCCTGAAGAGCACTGCATCGACTTTCTCCGCCAGAGCGCCATGTGCCACGGGGACGTGGGCCTGATTACCTTTGAGTGGCATCCCAAGCAGCGCATCCCCGTCGCCAACGCCACCACCCATCAGTGCGTCAAGTGGGACATCTTGGACCGCTGGACCAAGGAACGCTCGGTGGATATGCTGAAGCCCAACTGGCTTGTTCATCCTACTTTAGGTATGTCTTTGTCATTTTTTCGGACAAGAAACTATACTGACCAACTAGGACTCGCATATCCTGATGGACAGGGTGACAATATTGGGGCTGCGACGGAGAAGGGTGATGCTGGCCGACATCCTGTTCATGGCCACTATTGATCGGGCTGCAGTTGTCAAATTTGGAGAGGATGGATGAAGGATGCTCTTCAGAGCCGTAGCCGTGTCTGTGCTCAGATAGTGATGCTTCAATTTGCTTGGGCGTTGTTGCATATCATATTGAACCCAAATCCATCCCCGAAGACCCGAGCCAGCTATATAGGGTACGCGACCACAGGGCACGGAATAACCTGAAGAAGTAATAGCAGCCACAGTCTGAAGGTCTTCTACTAGAGCACACTTTCAGGAATTCCCAAACTGAGCTCCGGTGTCCAGCACACTGTATGTAAAACTCATCCATCTCACCTCCCAAAAGTACATACATACATCCATCCTATCAACACCTTCCCCAAGGACATCCCACCACCGTCCCCCACTTCTCCCCGGACAGTCCCACAACCTGCATCACAGCATTCACCACGCCGCCCACCCCCTCCCCCATGGTCAGCCCCGCAATAACCGCATACCCATACTTTCCAAACGTCTCGGGGCTCTTCCGACTCCACCACCTCGCGCCCCAAGCACCCATCAACATGGCCGTAGAATACACCGTCGCAGGGATGATGAACCCCAAACTCACCAGCATAAAATTCGGATGCCACCCCCTCACCCACTCCCATTTCCCGTTCCACAGCCCATGCCTTACCAGCACGCTGGCGCTCCCTACCGCGGCAAAGACCACCGCGAAGATGCGGCTCGACTCTGGCATCCCGCCCGCGTCGGGGTCTGTCGTCGCGAGAGCAATCGCGCGCCATGCGCTCGCCGTGGGGACTTGGAAGGGGCATTTCCCCGACCCCGTCTCTCCGCCACTAGAAAAAGCCGTTTGATTGACGCAGGGATATGCCTCCGAGAAGAGGACGTAGAGGCCCGGCGCGACGACGCAGGCAAACAGCGTGCCGATGCACTGCGCGATCCACTGCTTGCGGGGGGAGGTGCGCAGCAGGAAGCCCACGCGGAAATCGCCCGTGAGATCGGCGGACTGCATGGCGCCGAGGGCGGAGAGGGCGCCGCCGAGCAGGCCGAAGCGCTGGATGGTGGGCGGGGCCAGGCCCTGCGACGAAGAGAGGGCGGAGAGGGTGACCTGGGAGGAGGTGGATGCGGCGGTGACCGGGGTGATGTCGGTTGCGCCGGTGGCTTGGGTGGTGAGGAAGGAGAGGACCATGGCGAGAAGGAAGGCGAGGAGGGAGGTGAGTAGGGGCATGGCGTATTGTGTGTTCATGACCCAGCTTCCGTGGAGAATGGTGAGGAGGAAGCCGGGGAGCCAGAGGTAGGTTGGGACTTGGTTTGAGGAGGGGAAAGGATCGGTGGATTTTGAGGAGGAGGAGGAGGCATCGTCGGGTTTCTTCCAGATGGCGCGGATGGGATACAACAGGGCGCGCCACTGGCAAGCCATTTCGGTCAAGGAGACGGCCACCATACAGGCAACGCCCGGTCCAAGAAGCCAGTACCTCGGGCTGGGATGGGAAGCGGTTGTGTAATCGGCCGAGAAGTTGACGTACGAGACGAGGCCGGTGCCGGGAATCTCGGACCCAAAAGCTGATCCGCAGGAGACCAAGTAGGGGCCGATGAGGCCCCAGGCAAGGAGAGATCCGGCAAAGTAGTTGACCGCTGCGTGCATCCCAACGAGCATGCCCGTGCCGATGAACGCTGGCGACCATTCAATGTACCAGCCCCAGCTCTCGAGTCCCAGCGCCGTGCCACTGCTAGGCACCAAGTACGAATACCAAGTAAATGGATGCCAGTCCTGTGATTTCGGTCAGCCGAATTTCCCAGTCAAGATGAATGAAAGAAAGAAGACGCACCCAAAGAATTCCGACGGCAAACTGCGAACCAACTCGCAGTGCGCTCGCCAACCCAAACGTCCATCCCAGAATGCGCATCTTGCGGCGGGTCGTCCGGCCCGTAGGCCCCTCCGCCGAGGCCTGGTGCATATCGCGGATGGTGATGGCTGTGGCCAATGGTGTCGGGAAGACCAAGTGAAGGTCCCTCGCCGCCTCGAGGACGAAAAACCTTCGCACTACTCCCTGTCAGTCCCGGATATTCTTCACCTATTTTGAGGGACCGCAACTAACTCGGCGTCGCGAAAAAGAGCCCAAACAGCCCACCCACGGCCGTTAGAGTCACTAGCCGCCAGTAGTCCGCCGCCGGGTCGGTGAGGAGTCCCAACTGGTACATGGCCGGAAAGGCCGACACAAAAATGGTGCTCATCCCCCCAGCCGCCACCGCCGTTGTCTGCACCATGTTGTTCTCGCGCGGGCCGAAGCTCCCGCCCGCGAAGATACGCCCTAAGATGCCCGACCGCGCTTTTTTCAACAGCGCGAAGCCTGCGATGGACTACCGCGTTTTAGCCAACACTCTTCGTGAGCGAAAGAAAAAAAAAAAAGAAAACTCGCCGCAAATAAATTCGCCGACATTCCCAGTCCTGACTTAAGCCCAAGGTAAATATTAGACGCGCTGATGAGCACGCCGCAGAGGGCGCCGACCGCAATGGCGCGCACGGTAAGGATGTTTTCACTCTCATCGTCAGGTACTCCGTTGAGCGGGGCAAACGGGTCGTCGGCAAAGTCGCGAGGGTGGTCTTTCTCGTTGTTATTTTCTTCATCATCCTCCGGCCAGCCCTCAGGGTTATCGTAACCGAGCTGTCGGTATCTCGGTTGCCCGTCGTCATTTTCAGGGGCCATTGCACCTGGCGGTCGGTCTTTGTTTTGCTTCCTTTTGGTAGAAAGCGCGATTCAATGAAAAACGGAACGGATTTATCTCAGCCGACTCACTGAAGCGCATTCCCTCTGTAGTACGGAATCTGATGGTGCAGGCACTTTTGGGGTATGTACATCGGTACCTATTCTGCACTGAAGGGAACGTAGGGGGACCGAACCCCGTCAGGTGCGACCGATGACCTTGCATGAGCCGCTCCGCAAGGTGAGACAATGCGGCGAATGGAGAATGCAGAAACCGGCTGCAATTGTTCGCACGCAGAGGGAGTTAATTCCCTTTCAAACATTTTCCAGCACCGCTGCTATTTATCGGCACTGAAGAATCAGGGTGCTTTTCTGGGGCAATACTTTTAGCGAGGTAAACATGAGCCCCTGAAAAGTGGAGTCGCCAGTTTACCTGCCCCCCCGCCCCTGAAATGCCGACGCAAACTGGCATCAGGGAAGTTTTGCAATTGACTCTTGTGATCATTGCCCCCAAAAACTGAAGGCTGATACTTTTTCACCAAATTTAGTCATTTATTCAGTTACTTCGGCTCGAACATCCCCTTGGAATAAAAAGTATTTAATGTGATTGGAAGCCACCGCGTCCGGGTCCAACGCCAGGCGCCCTCCAAACATGTAGGTATTCATTCATATTGCACCATGTACCATGGGTACATTCTCCTGAAATGATTGTCCTCGGCCAACTCTTTCAGTCGTGGGAACCACTGCTTTTGTTAGCTTCATATAACACCGGGCGTAATTTGGATGGTGCGATGACATACCGGAGTCCCAAATCCCGTGGAAGCATCCCAACCCTCCGTGGCGGGAAATCCGGCAGTATTACAGCCCGGGTTAGAGCCCGCTGTCACATCCTTAAAACCCCGATATCCCCCAGCGTAGATCCACGGGTTGAGCCAGCCAAGCGGGGGCTTTCCCTGGGCGGCGAGGGCGTCATTGACCAAGGCAAAAATTCCCGCTGCAGCCGGTGATGACGCGCTCGTCCCATCTAGAATGTGCGCTGTCCCGTTCCATACCGTGATAAAGTGATAAGCCCGTAGAGAGATATCAGGGTATCCCCGCCCCGACGTGTTGTACAGACCATCGTACATACCATTCAGGCTAGTAATGTACTTCTGCACGTCATGTTTTTGATACTTGGGCTGGGGAAAGTAGTTGCTAAAGCACTGCCCGTGACAAAGCCCGAGCGGGCGTCGAACCAAGCCATCTCGGGTGCCCAGTGGCGCGTCCCGCCAACGGCCGTCACGTATGGGCATGAGGCGGGGAAGACGGGCAAAAACATCTTCCTCGTCTGGTCATCGTGGGCGAAGCACTTGTCGTCCTGCCCGACATCCTCGTCGCCACTAGCAAATAAGAGGCTGACACCGCGGGCGCCAAGCGCCGCAAAGCCTGCACATGCACGGCGGGCATACAAAAGCGGCACACTCTGCTCTTCGTCGGCGTATGACGTGGAAATCACGCGAGGTAGTTCATCGTCGCTCTTTGAAAGCATGTGGGACGTCCACTCGAGATACGGCTCGTTCTTGTTCGCGGTTGTGAAGGCCGTCGACTGAAAAGGGGGCTTCCCGCCGACGTTATATGCCTTCAAAGGGATGGGATGTGCCAGCCCCAAGATGGTCTCGGCATTGAGGTTACCCTCGAGCGCAATGACGGTTCGCGCGGCCGCGACCTGTTCAGGCGTAACGGGCGTTTGCTGATCGGTACCGCCGGAGACAATCTCGGTCCAAAAGTCGGCAGCCCCGGGGAATGCGTCAGGGCGGTACCGCTGCAGGAAAATGGCAATGTCGGAGCGGTTGTTGACTTGGCCGAGGTAATTAACGAGGGCCACTGACGTCTTGTTGGGCACCTGCGGTGTGTAGTTCAGCGTGCCGTATAGCGTGCGAAGGCACAATGGCGACGTGGCAAGCTTGTTGCAGGCCTCGTCAACGGTGATAGCTCCTGGGAGTGCAAAGTCACTCGACAAGGGCACATCCATGTGGCCCATCTCTTTTTTGTCAATGGCGGCGAGCTCCTCATAGCTTGGGAGATCGTCAACGCCGAGCCCGAGCGGCGCGGTTTCAAAGCCTCTCCTTTCCACTGGCACCGCGCGGGTCTGCAGCGATGGCCGGAAGAAAGCATTAGTGGGATGGATAGCGTCAATGTGTTCGTGCAAGTGCGCTGGAAGAGACCATTCTGGTGCTCGGATGGCGACGTCGCCGTCGACATGGCGGTATGTGTGATAGGTTGTTGTCAGGAGGCGTTCTGCTTTGGAGACTGTGGTATGGAGAGAGATCCAATCGCGTGTTGAGCTGTAATTGAGATGGAAGATGCCATGACTCTCCAGCCAAGTTTCAACCAGGCGTAGCGATTCATTGGTGGGCGCTATGAGCTCGCCAACCTCAGCAGCTGTTAAGTGCTGGCCGTACCGTTGATGGGAGGGGTCCGAAACTATGGGTACGTTAGTAGTGCCTTTACTGAAAGGCCTTGGTGCTTGAATCCATACTCTCAGAAAGATGATCTTCGAGCTCTTTGAAGCGGCCTTGTCTCAGGCCGATCATCAACTGCATACTCCCGTCGCCATCTGCCCTCGACACTTTCTTCCATTTGGGCGGAACTGGGTGTCGGTCTTTGAGGACATGTGCCGAACGATAGGGAGGTGACGATATCGTTCTTGTGATGGAAACTGCCACCACCAGGCCGATGAGAAGTCTCATAGCCGCCAACAAGAAAGATGTATTCTCAAAAAGCGATAGAGTCCAAGATGACATAGACCGAAAAGAATGTTCGCACACATCTCCACGGGGACTTGCGGGGACCCGTGTAAACGCCGGATGCCGACAACCCTTGAAGGACGCTGAAGAATCTGATTGACGAAATCTTTCCAGACGTGACTGCCTGCCAGGAACGATGACTAGTGGAGTCCAGTGGTCATTCTTGCCCAAAATCCAAGGCAACCAATGTCAAATTCCATGACAAGTCACGGTGAAGCTGACAATTTGTGACCATGCACGCGAACTGTTCACCTTGACCTGGGCGTCGCTGTTGGATGTTGGTCTGGTGCCGCAGGATCTTGGTGTGGGGAGGTTGATGCACAGTCAGGCAGAGTCAGGGGAAATGACAATGCGTTTGTCCGCCCCCAACAAAAGCACCAACGCCACTGGTCAGCTCCTCCTCACCACAACAATCGGCTCAATCACCGAGATGGAATCTTTTACTAGCCCCAGCCCAACGAGCCTCGAAAACCCCACATGAGTCCGTAACCAAATTCTCCACCAGCTTCACCACCACATGACCACCATGGGCAGGCTCCGAATCCTCGCCGTCGCGGCCCTCTCCCTCGCGTTCCTGGCGCATAGCGAGCCAGTGCAATACTGCCGGCGCGGCGGCCCCTCGGAGATTGACTTCTGTCTCGGCGCGCTCATATACAGCAACACATCAACATCCTCCCACGACCTCTTTCTCACCTTCACCATAACCCGGCACTCGGGCTCCGCCCTCGGCTGGACTGCCGTCGGTGCCGGCAACCGCATGAATGGCGTACGTACCAATCCAAACGGGCTTTCTCTCGGTTTACCTTGTTTCAGCTGTCTCAGGAGTGAGACCAGGGCAGCAGCATCCTGCTTCCCAGACGAAGAAATGCCCTCAAATGGAAAACCCGAGCTAAAATCTACAACAGGCCCTCATGCTCATCATCTACGGCGACCCACTCTCACCCACCAGCCCCCCCATCGTCAGCATCCGCGCCTCCACCGGCCACTCCCAACCCGCCCTGCTCAGCCGCTCCGATCTGCCCCCGGGGATGGACCTCCGCGTCGTCTCCTCCCTCTGGGCCGCCCCTTCCCCAGCATCCAACACCCACACCGCCACCGTCCATCTGGTCTGCTACTCCTGCGACCTCTGGCCAACCGCCGACCTCTCGCCCCTCTCGTCCTCCCAGCCCTGGATCTGGGCCTGGAATCCCTCGCAGCCGTTCGACGTCTACACCTTCGACGCCCACCTCGCCATGCACAAACACCACGCCGGTGCGGGCGGATGGGGCAACTTCTATCTTGACATGCGCCGCGCGGTGAGCACAGCCCGCTACCCCCCGTCGTTGCCGCCTATTCGACCGGGGGTGGATCGGCTCGGGGCATCGGATACGCCGCTCTCTCTGGCCGGGATGGTGACGGGGAAAGGATCCATCGTGCACGGTGCGTTGTTGGCGCTTGTTTCCCTGTTCACACACCCCATGGGGGGGGGAGAGATCACGTCTGAGAAGAAGAGCGCGTATGCGTGGCATTGGATGGTGCAGTGCGTAGCGTCGGAGGCACTGCTCGCGGGGGGGGGGCATGTTCATTGCGAAGGGGGGGTGGATTGCGGCGGTCCATCAGGTGGGGGGAGTGGTGTTGGCAGCTTCGGGTGGCCTCCACCAACTGCTCAATTGTTCCCCTCCATGTGCGTTATTGGTAGCGTCGGGAGAGGACGTGCCCCTCACATGTCCCACATCTGGTATGAGAGACTATTTTGTGCGGGGCGGGGGGGGAAACAAACGTGTGGAAGTGGTGTGTTTGCTCCAGGGGAAAACCGCCACACAACAAGTTCTTGTTTTTTTGTAACCTGCGGCCTCTCTATTGTGGTGTGTTGAGGGGCTAGCGCTTGGAGTATGGTTGTTTTGGGCTGAGGTGAGGCGAAGGCGGAAGCAGGTGTCATCAGCTGCGGACCCAGCATGGGCGAAGCTCAACGATACGGCCTTTGTTGTGGCGGACAGCGATGACGAATCGGAGAAGGAGGGCAAGGCCGATTCAGTCGAGGATTGAGAATATTGCCTTGGTCACCGAGAGAGATCTACTCGGAGCTACGGACTTTCCAAGCTCAAAACAATCATCATGGCATCGAACACCACCTACCTTAGCTACCTATCACAGTATCATCGTGCGCCACAGAAGCTGATTGGCCCCTGGCATTCAGCTTTGATCACTAATTAGGTATCTCACCATGTCTACCGTTTTCCCATGCGTCTATACACCACCGCCGGTTCTATCTCCAGTATGGGCCCTCCCCCAAGACACTCTGACACCTCATTCGTCCCCCGGATGCACTGGTGAAGCAAAGGGGACGCGCTGACATGGTTGTTTTTGGCTCCCAACACCGCCACCGCCACAACAAAGTTTATAAACCCCCGCGACATATTCATGATCCCCAATGTCTCATCCCGAAAGAGACCTAAAATTTTTGTTCATGTACATGTACCTCGGTGGAGAGCCCGTAGCCGATATCAGCACTGAGGCTCTTGGCAAGATGCGGGGAAATGGAGAGATTCCGGCGCAAGAAGGCTTAATTAGAGCGTAAAAACATCAGCAAGCCCCCAGGAGAATGAAACGCGGCGGGAGGAAGTTCCTACAGACTCAGATTTTGCTACTAGATGTCGAGGATCTGATCTCTCTCCCCGTTTTTATTTTTCTCGATTGGTTGGTTAGATTTGAGACTGCGAATAAAGTGAAGGATACTCCTGTGAGAATCAAACACTGCGCCAGAGCAAGATGGGAGCTCGGTGTCCAACAGGAATCATATCTATCTACCTTCGAACTCCCGTAGTTCACCCCAGATGCCATTGTCCGGATGTGATAGGCGGATGCACGGTCAAGCTGAACCGGGGGATTCTCATGTATGGTCAATCCTTACCCGGCGTATTTCTGATACTTATCATTTCCCTTTCAGGTTATCGCGGGGGTGAGAAGCTGGGACGGGAACTGGAACATCATAGGTACCTAATTTGTGCGAAATCCGGCCTTCCCTTGCTGGCCGTTACACACATCATACCTGGTAGGATCTGTGTGACCCCGCCGGATCCTTCCGGACAGTTTCTCGGTCGTTTATATTTCGCCATGTTATTAATTTGTGTCGCAACGCCAAGGTTGTAGTTTTCGTTGCACAGCCAGCAGGGCTGATGCGGGAGCGCTACATGGAAATCTGGGTCTTGGCCATGGGAGGGTGAGTCCGATCTCCCTGTAACTCTACCGTTCTGATGCACGGCGGAAAGACAGGACGTGCGTTTAAGCTCTCGGGCATATGCATCGTAGTAGCAGTGAGTTGTGTGTTTGGTGATATGTCTGGTAAATTGTTATAAGATGGCTCTGCAACGTAATTCCCGACTACCACATTGACGCGAAACTCCATCTTCAACCTCGACTTGCTTGATTACGGTTGGACTCGACGAGTAGAAGCAAAAAGGCAAACACAACCTGAGACCCCTGTGGTTGACGAAGGTCGGCCTTTTGCGTGAGTCTGGCGAGGAGACTCCATGTTTCTGGCAGCTGTTGGTTGTTAGCTATTACCCCTTTTCACCTGAAATTGCCATTTTGAAAAAGGGGAGTGTTTTTTAAGATACCTTTTCTCGAATAGCCATCTTCTTCTCCTTGGCCTCTTGGTCCAACTCCATGTCGCCCATCATACGCCAGAGGGCCTCAACGCTACTGACTGGTGTCGGCGGCCTCGCGACATCCTTCGCATTCTTAGCCGTGTCGATCTCACTGGCGTACAGCGACTCAGCAGCAGCCAGTATTTGCTGGCGGTAGCGCTGGATATCTCTCTCAGACCATGCGCTGGTGCTTCGGTGCAGCGAAGACAAGAAGGTGTAGAGCGAGTGGCTGCGGCTGAGAGATTGGGCCCAATATGACGCTGTATCTTCTTCGAACTGAGCGGTGTAGTACTGCGTGGCCATGTCGTCGATGCTTTCAAACCCGGCCTCTTGAACGGCACGGATGATGTGCTGGATTCGGCTCTCGAGGTCTCTTCCCCTCCTCTCCGGCGGATGCTCCTTGTGGTGGTGAGACTCGGTGTCGCTAACGGGTGTAGGCATCGGAAAAGAAGGGGCGATCTTAGCCTCGGAGGGTTGCGGTATCGGCATCGACGATGGTTGGGGCATATGGTGGAAACCCATGGGCGCAAGGTTGTGGTGCACATCGTGATGGGGGAGGCAGTTTTGATGGTCTCCCATCGCATCCTCCTGCTGCTCCATGTCGGGGGCGCCCAGGCTGGCAAGGAGAAAGTCGGTCTCGCGACCCACATCGAGCGAGTCGTTCGTCGTCTGCCTCATGTGGTGATCCATGTCGGTACAGTCGGCCAACAAGAAGTCCAATGACGACGAGACGGGCTCTTCTGGCTGGTCAAAGTCGAACGAGATGCTGCTGGTACTCGTGCCCGATTCTCGCTCGGAGTAGGTAGGCTTGTCCGGCTCGGTTCCTGCGTTGGATTTCACCCCTAGGAAAGAGGTTAGCGAAATGATTGGGGTCATAATTTGTGGCGTTCGAGGGAAGGCTCACGCTGACGCTGGCGATGTTTCCGCTGCGCCAACCGATTCCTCCTCCGCTTCGCTTCTTGCTCGTCCCCGTGGACGATGGGAATCTGCAGCGGCACCACGGCGACGGTCGAGGGGTCGAACTTTTCCCGCCCGCGGGGGTTCCCGTTCTTGGACATGGTGATTCGGTTTGGTGGATCAAAGAGTCTGTAAGTGACTCTGTAGTATGCAACGCTAGATGATTTAGGGAATTTGAGCTTGAATTTTAGGTTGCGACGCTAAGGGGAAGGTGCATAAGGGCTCCAAGCTCCCGGGAGCGCTCGAGGCGGGCAGCGACGGCATACGAACCGAACCAGACTCCAGGTCGTCTGAAAACGCCAAAAAGGATTGAACCGCACACTGGGCGGCAATGCGTGGCTTTCATCAAGCTTTTTCGGGTGCTGCCGGAGGTTTTATCTACCTACCCAATCCTTCTTGCAGCCGTCGGGCAAGGTATGTACGGAGTCAGGGATCTTGTGGCGGCCGCGGCCCCCAACAACCCCGCGAGATACCTTCCCTCCCCCTAATCCCCGAGCCACCACCTACCTCACCAGCACAGGCCGTCTCCCCAACATCCGCATCGCCACCGCCTTCCTCCCTTTCGCTGACTACAACGGCCTGCAGCTCCTACGCACGCCTTGGTTTCCCCGTTGGCTACCTGTTGGTTCGTCCACAGGCACGGATGCGGTTCAGTTGCGCCTCAAATCCCTGGTAACGTTTCTGTCGGTCACGTCTAACGAGCTCCTCAGATTGGATAACCCCAATCTCTGGGATGGTGCGATCCCCTGTCGAGAAGCGGGGCTCGCACCTCTCCTTCCTGTTCAGGCCGGCCTTACTGTCAGACAGAGGTCCCTGTGGGCGCGGTTGGTGATTTTTCCAGAGACTCCAGGAAACCAAATCCTCTTCCTGAACAAGCGAAGATGCACAGTCGGCCAACAGCCGGCGTAACCATGCCACAACACTTTACACAGGAGATCCAGGAGGCTCAACACCAACGTCTGGCATCTGAATGCGAAACCAGGTGAGAGGCTCCCTCTGTTTAGGCGGAGGGTCGCATGCTCATGTACTCAAAAAGGTTCACGCTGCGTTCTGTGACATCGTCGGGAAAACTGGTGGTCTTGTTGTCTGCCTGCCTGGTAAAAGAAGGAAATGAGCCGACTCACGGGCTCCTCCTATACAGTGAACGCCAATGCGCAAACGGAATAACAATATGCCCCTTCCCCAAAGAATCGCCCTGTCCACCTGCATCTGGACACGCCCCAGATCATTCCTCGTGTGTACACATACACAACCACCCAGATATCTGGCTGCGCCGCACTCACCCGGGAGCTCACCCTGCTCCCCCGCTCACAGGAGCTTAAAGGCGGCGAGGCTCACCCGGCCCCACCCTCTGCTGCTCACCTGGCTCACCTGGCTCACCCGGATTGGCGGGTAACCGGAGCCACGCACGGAAGAGGACCCGGGCCTCGCTTGATCCCTGTCTGAGCGCACCGCAGGATTGCCAGGGGCCATGGTCTTGTTGCCGACAAAAGTTATACTGTGTAACTAACTCTGCCTTCAAAACGTGAATGACTGTTTTCAAGGGTTGATATCATGTTGGTAATAGAATGCAAATGGTCGTGCCCACGCGAACAATCGCAGCAACTCGGGCCTTTTCATGGGCAGGTAATTTAAGGGCCCAGGATCAATATTTTGCAATTTTTGAGTTTTGCCCCCTCTTTTTAACCCATCCAGTTAAGCGGGGGATGGCGTGTCTCTTCAGTTTTCTTGCGGTTAGTTGACGCTTGTTCTTCTGCAGTTGGTTCATTGTTGAATTGGCCTTCCTTTCTCCTACCTCCATTCGGGAAGAGCTTACGCAAACAGCTGGGGCCGTCTTGGCGCGTATGGTACCACGGATTGGCCGTTTGTGGAATGAATGCCGACGAAGAAATGAAATAACATCACATGTTCGTCGTCTTTCTCTCGTCAACATCTTCCCATCCACAACTCCTCGCTGAGCTACGGATAAACTGTAACACCAACGCGGCACACCTTAACAAATACTAAGTGGCAACAAATGGCTTCTACTTACATTCCTCAGGGGACAACCACGCGGTTGACCCCCGCTGACGTGGAGACCTCGTCCGAATCAGCCAAAAACAATATGGAGCAAAAGGCCTTCTGCGAATGGCCAAATGAAGCCGGAGTAAGCAATCCCGGATCCGCCCTATAGGCTTTTACTGAATCGTTATACCTAGTTTGACGGGTTGACGGAACATCGTGGTCCCATCGCGCTCAAAGTCCAGGGCACAATCCCAGCTTGGGCAGCCGGACTCTCTCTACCGGACTGGACCTGGCCAGTGCAAAGTCGAAGAGACCAAGTCGGGAACTTTTTTCCTTTCGCATTGGTTCGACGGGCTCGCCCATACTCACAGATTTGACATCGTAGCCGAAATGGTCGCCGACGAGCCGGTAGTCCGAGTGAACTACTCCTCTCGCCGCCAGTCTGACCAGCTTGTTGCTGATATCAAAGCCACTGGAACCTTACGGGCGATAACATTTGCCCAGAAATTAGATCCTTGTGTCGGCATGTTCGGGAAGTTCATGAGCATCTTCCGCAAGTCGCAAGCCCCCCTCAACGCGAATGTGATGGTGCAGCGCAGTATACCCTCATCGAACTTGAAGACGCAGGGCCATCGAGCTACTCCACTTATTCTCGGTACAGATGCCAACGTGATCTGCCAAATCGATCCCGAGACTATGGAACCCACCGGCTTCCTAAACCAAACAACCGTACACCCGGACCTTAAAGGAGCTCTCAGCGGCGCCCACGGACAGTTTGACCCGGAGTCAGGCGACTATTTCAACTATAACCTGGACCTCGGTAAAGACGCCGTCTACCGCATCTTCCGAGTTACTGCCGCCACCGGAAAGACCGACATTCTTGCCGCCTTCAAAGCCAAGGGAGCCTGGATCCACAGCTTCTTCATGACCCAAAACTACATCGTCCTCTGCATCCCCGTGGCACACTATGCCCTGAGCGGCGTGAAGATTCTCCTAGAAGGTAACCTAAAAGACGGCTTTAAGCCCTTTGACCCCTCCGAGACCTGCCACTGGTACGTAATCGACCGCCGCCACGGCAAGGGCCTAATCGCTGAGTTTACCTCCCCCGCCCGCTTCTTCATGCATACCGTCAACGCCTTCGAAGACCCCGACACGGGCGACATCCTCTGCGACGTGGTCGACTACCCCAACCGGTACATCGTCGAAAGCTCCTACTACGACGTCCTCCTCAATCTGCAACAACGGCCGCCGCCCACTTTCTGGACGGCCAACAACTTCACCACCAATTC